GGGAGAGAAAAAAAGAGAGCTGCAGCGGGAGAGGGATTGCTGAGCTGTGCTGTGGTTTTACGATCCCTAAATAACGCCGGGAGCTGCGCTGTAAACACATGGCGGGACGGCATGCGCGGCCGTGGCCCCCGGCTGCAGCCCGGCGTGGAAAACGCTGCAGCCTGGGAAAGGAAAAGGGAGAAAAAGAAAGAGGGGGGGGGGGGGAAAGAGAAAAAGGTGGGAGGGGGAAGCTGTAAAAGAAGGCAAGGCGCTTTCTTGCAAAAGAAAAAGAGCGGAGAGCTCTCCCGCGTTATTTAGCGGGCGGTCCCGGACGCGGCGATGCGTCGGGCGCTGCGGGCAGAACGGCCCCCCCGGCCCGGCACCTTTTGTCCGCGGGGCGCGGCGCTGTGCGGAACTCCCCGCGGCCGGGGTTCGGCCCCCGCCCTCACCTGCGCTGCCCCATTTTCGCTCCGCTTTGAAGAGCAACAGATGAGGACCTCCCCCAGTCCCCCCTCCCGCGCCCCTTCGGATGTGGCATTCACTGCCTTTGGAACGCCGGACGCTCCCGCTGCGTTAATGCGTCCCGAGCGTCGGCATTAAAAGAAATGGAGGCGGGGGGTGGGGGGCGCTGCCCGGCACTCGCACGGTTTTGCGGCCCCGAGGCGACGGGAAGGACCCCCCCACCCCCCCGTGCAATGCGGGCGGCCCCGGGGGGGCACAGCGCGGTGCCGTCGGGGCGCGCAGCGCTCAGCGCATCTCCGCGGGGCCGCGCCCGGGGAGGGGGATCGAATTGCCGCCGGAGAGCCGCGTGCCCTTTCTCCTCCCGCAAGGTCGCGGCAGAGCGGATCGCGTGTCACCGCCCGGAGCGCTCCGCACACGGCGCCGCGCGGCCGCGTCCCGCACCGCCCCGCACTGCGCGTGTTTGCCTTGGGGGCGGTGCGGGGCAGAGTCCGGGTGACGAACGCGGGGACGGTGAGCGCGGCGCGGCGGGGCGGGGGCCGGGGGGGGCCCGGCGCCCTTTGCCCGGGAGCCGATGGGCTTTTTCCAGCCCTGCCAGGGGAAAAGAAATCATGAAACGCCTCGAGCGCGGCGCGGAGAAGAGGAAGCGGCAGATAAGAGCGAGCCGCGGCCTCGCGGAGATGAAAGGCGATTGCGAGAGCCGCCCCGGCCCCCGCGGACAAAGAGCTCCTCCAATATTAACGAGGCCCCGCAGCCGAGGGAGCCCCACGCC